GAAAATTACCATGCTCAACCTTGACGAATTTTCGATGAATCCCAATAATAGAAAGAGGTATAGCGAGAAGTTTAACATAGTTTGGTTATAAATTGATTTGACGGTTGGTAACGAAGAGTTATTTTTTTTTTAGATTTTTGTTTCGATTTGAGATTCGATGAGATTAAAATATTTTCTGACTAGTTTGAACCAGATGAAACGAAATAGAAGAACAAGAAGAGTAGTTTGATTATCTTTTCAACCGGATAAACTACATATTCATGGCAGAAACTCCGATGAAAGCATGAGAAATGACTAGCAAATTCAGAAGAAGAAGCTTAGGATTTTTAACGTACCACATCAACTTTTTCACAATAACAATGAAAGTCGACGACAATAACAAAAATGAATTAAAAGTTTAGTAATCGTAATACAAGCTTTAAAGGTTTAATAACCAAAGTGAAAGTGCCCCAAGTTCAATAACCATTAATAGACTTTACCCTTAAATATTATTATTAATAGATTTTTATATGTTAATATTATCAATAAATCTTAAACATTCTTTAAAAAATCATTTACTCATCATTTGATATTAATGAATTCATTATTAATAATATACATGTGAATAAAAATGTTTGAACATATCGACTATCATCAAAGAACTGATACATCAATAATTGCAACAAATAAATTAGCACCTGGCAGCCTCATTGACTAATTATATAATTAACAAATATATATATAATTAAAAATTATAAAAGATAAACCAATTATTATATAATTAACACTGAAATCAATAATTATAAAAGATAAACCAACAAACTGACAAGAATATGTCCAGTAAGGTTGAAACATGATAAGAGCCGGAGTTGGGAGTTCAGACCGTGCCCGGTTCGGTCGGGGTGGGAAAAGGATCGGCCTTTATCACAGGACAAAAGGCGAGATTCTTTTCCCGACAGTTCACACGGGTGGAATTTGGCTGTAAGTGGGTTCCTAGGTCAATTTTTTTTAGTATATAGTGTTAAGAGTTGGTCAAACTTATTTTATATGGATTAACTCTAGAACTATTTTAGGGTAAATTATATATTTAGTACCTAAATTATTAATTTTAATTCATTTTAGTACTTAAACTTTCAACTTCTTTTAAAACCTTACTTAACATTTAATTTTCATTTCATTCTAATACCTCACCATTAGAAACTTAATGGATTTAATACCTAAGATATCAGTTTTGGTCCCTTTTAGTACACAAACTTTCAATTTTTTCAAACCTTATCGTTAAATTTTGAACGAGGGTACTAAAATGAAAAAAAATTAAAAAATTAAAAAAAATTAACGGTAGATACTAAAATGAAACAAAAACTAATATATATATATTTTTTAAAAATTTAAGTACTAAAACGGATAAAAATTGATAGTGTATATACTAAACGCGTAATTTACCCATTATTTTAATGATGAGAAAGATAAAAAGAAAAAGTGAGATTAATAGAGAGTATTGAAATTTGTATTTGCAAAATTTTAATCGATAATATAGATTGGCTGAGGATCATAATATATTTTCATCATTAAAATAATAGAGTCAATATTATCGATTAAAATTTATATCTAAACTTTTGGTAATTAAAATATTTAAAAATAATATAAAACTTATATCAAATAAATTATACGTTGATCGGATGGTGAATATTATAGATTATATTGGTTTGAATTTCATGAGTTTTATTTGAGGCTTGAGTTTTATAAATTTTAAAGTGATTTCGATAAAACCTAAACTAATAGAAGGATACGTGATAATGAGATGAGTTTATCGATATCTTGAATAATCGAATAAGACACTGAAAATTATAATTACAACGTCGTTGGGACACATGCATGAAACTTGAAAATTTTCATATATGGACGAAGAAGATAAAAAAGAAAGAAAATGAAAAATGACGTGAATTACACATGGATTTCATGTCAATAAAATATAATTAACATCGCATGTGTGGTTAACATGTCACCATTCTATTTATGATTTGGTACTCGAGTAATTAAAATAAGAACAAATAAAAAATTTAATGAGTAAAATAAAAAAAATTAGACTGTAATGACTAAAATAGAAGTACAAAAAAATGAAAGATGAAATTTATAATCTACCTGTATTTAAAAAATTAAAGGGTAAATTATGTCTATCACCTAAACTATCAATTTTGATTTGTTTTAGTATTTAAACTTTATTTTTTTTCAAAATCATACTTAAAGTTTAGTTTTTGTTTTATTTTAGTACACCGCTCAAAAATGTAACGTTAATTTTGGTTTTTTTAAAGTATAGGTACTAAAACGGGCCAAAACTAATAGTTTAGGTACTAAACACGTTAAGTTTTTAAGGACGTGGTACTAAATGAAGAAAAAAAACTAAAAGTTAGGTATTATTTAAAAAAAATTAAAAGTTTAAATACTAAATAAAACTTACCAAAACCGATAAATTTATATACTAAATACATAGTTTACCCGAAATTGAAATATAGTAATAAAGTTGGAATTGAAATCCAAACATGCATGACAAGACTCGGGATTAGATACTCACATTGCTGACCTCAAAGTTTACCGACATAACTAATATCTCATATCATTCACCATCGACAAAGTTGTTTATTATTCCAATTCTATTTTGAGCTTTAAGCTTCAGAGAATATCGAGTGCAATAAATTATGAAATATTCTAAGAAGAATGTGAATGATGATCATAGTGAGGTAGCTCAAGAATCTAATGATGTAAAGTCGGACGATGCAAGTTGTTAGGCCAATCTTATCTTAATAAAGTTACCTAATGTGCGAATGTGACCTAAGGGCATCAATAACGAAAGGGTACTCAAGATTTTTACGTAAAAGGTAAAATTTAATATTACACGACGTACTTAAAATATAGGGTAAAGTATACAAATAATCTTCGAACGATTAGGGTGTTTGTATTTTGATCATCCAACCTTTGAAAACTTGCAATATAATTACTGATTTTTTAATTCATTTTTAGTAGGTCTTTGTTGTTACCTCTAGTTAGTTTAACACTTAACTCTGTTAATCGCCTTCTTCAATGACATCAAGTTACACTCTCACTGTTTATTTTGCTATGAAGAGAATGGCTTGATAAACGATAAGCTTGGTCGATAATTCCACCGGTAGGTGATACCGAAATATGAGATGAACCCAGAAAACATTGTCGGATACCATTTTTTCCAGTTCAAGCAATGCATCTATGGAAGCAAACACTTAATCAGCAGATTTGACATCATCAGTTTCATGGAAACCAGAAAGGCAACCAAATCCCTTTCCCCCCTTTCAAGAAATTTCTTGTACCTTCAACAAGTTTCTCCCCATGGTAAAGATTTCCAGCTAGCCAAAACCATATTCATTTGTTTCAAATTTATTTGGGTTTTGGTCGGAATGGTGTGAGGACCCCAATGGTGGTGGCGGTGTGGTGAACGGACGGCTCAATCGTCCAAAATCGATGAAAATAGAAAATGGGCGTTGGAGTTCTTCGATAAGATTCGGGGCCCTCTCCACGGCAAAATGAAAGTGAGTCTCGACGAGTGGCTAGTGAGGTTTTGGTTGAATTAGGGTGGCGTTCTTACTGGTACCGATAATGATAGTCACCGGCGATTGACGACAAAGATCGGGGATGGGTGTTCAAACGATCTTCTCGCAATTTGGGAAGAATGATGGACGGTGAGTATGAATCGAGAGTCGGCGTGTGGTCGGAAGGCGACGTCAGTGACGATGGTGATGGCGATGTGAACCACCGCAGATCGGAGGTGGGGTGAACAATGATGGCATGGCTTGAGATATTGTTGTGTGAGAGGAGAAGAGGAGAAGAAGAAGAAAAAGAAAAAGAAAAGTTGAGGTTAACGAGACTTAAGTGTCACGTCAGATAAACTTACGGAGATAACGATTGAGACCTTACTGAAAACGAACTAAAAGTTCGATGATTGTATTAGAAGTTTCAAAAGTTGGATGATTAAAATGTAAGCGCCTAAAGTTTCGATGATTATTTAAATACTTTACACTAAAATATATTTACACTTAGACCATCAGATCATGAAATAAAGAAGAAAAAACATTTATTCTTTGAAAGGATCAAATAGTATATAATTTTTTTTGAAAATGCAATATTAGTTTATCTTTATTTTTTAATTCCTAAAAAGTGCAAGTACGAGGACTTCACTTAATTTACCCCTTTCCATCATTATGGGCTATTCTAGGCCCAAAAGAGTCTTCAAAATTAAGAGCCTACAAAGGACCCATAACCATTCGATCTTCAACCCACACAAATAGGGATGTATATGATTTGAATTTGAAGGAATAATGTTGTGGGCGTGTTTGTTTATTTATTTTTAAAGGTATGCATGATTGATGTAGTTTAATTAAATGAACGAACACAAACAAATGACTCATTCGTTCATTTATGTTCGTAAACGCTCGATAATCCGTTTGTTTATGTTTAATTCATTTATATGTGTTCGTCTACATAAAATATTGTTGTTGTTGTTTATGTTCGTTTACTATTTTAATGAATAAACTACATTCTTTAACGAACGAACACGAACAAGAAGTTATATTCGCTTAATTATTTATGTTCGTTCCTATTAAAGTTAACCATCGAGGTGACGAGTTCCATTGTATTTTTTTCTAAAAAATAAAAGTAACATAATCTATAAAAAAAATACAACTCCTCACCTTGAGATGACGAGTTGCTCAGAAAATATTAAAATATTAAGCCTCGAATATAAAAATTATATCTCATGTTGTACCGTAAAAAAAATTACCATAGATTCCAAAATAATTTTTGAGTGCCTTATTTGGGCAAATAATTTCGGCGGGTGGCCTGTTGGGCCCAAAAAGCTCTTCAAATTAGAGCCTACAATGGACCCATAACCATCCGATCGTTGATCCACACGACAAATTAGTCGGCCGAGATTCGTTCATCCCATGAATTCGCCACACACGATTCAACTACCATCCAACCCAACTCGATTACATTCTCATTCTCCGAGCTCCGGTTCTTGTTCATCGCAACAGAAGGAAAATACACCTGAAGGAAGAGAAGTAATACAGTGCGCCGCCAGAATCAGACACCAAAAAAAGGAAAAGCTATAAAAATGTTCCTGCGATTGATCGCGCGGCCGTTGTTGGCGAAGGTGAAAGAGACGACGGGGATCGTTGGATTAGACGTCGTCCCCAACGCCAGGGAAGTCCTGATCGGGCTCTACAACAAGACCCTTAAGGAGATCCAGGCCGTACCAGAAGACGAGGGCTACCGTAAGGCCGTGGAGAGCTTCACGCGCCACCGTCTGAAGGTCTGCCAAGAGGAAGAAGACTGGGAAATGATCGAGAAGCGCCTCGGATGCGGCCAGGTCGAGGAGCTCATCGAGGAAGCTCGTGACGAGCTCACTCTTATCGGGAAAATGATCGGTTCGTGCCCATTCCTTCTCTTTCTTTCTTTTCCTTATTTTAAATTTTAGGGTTCGTTCTTTGTTTATGATTGGTTTAGTCTTCCTTCAAGCAAATTTGGTTAAACTAGAGCTGGTTATTGCCTTGCTCAACTAAGACTGCCTATGAGAAATGATAAATTTTGTTAATAAGAAGGTATTAGAATTACTTAACCATAATCGAACAATGTGCATAGGCTTTTGAATGAATTTGATGGTGAAAGTATTATAGAAAACTACTTTGTATCGGCTGAAATTAACAGGTTGGTGGCTAAAATCGAAATGGTTGCTTGCTTTTGGAAAGGGATATATTATACTTGCACTGATAATGAGACCAATATTCATCTTTTTTCTATAAGGTTAACAAATCTAAATTAGCTCATCATTTTTATGTATGCAGGTGAATTGTGAATGTTTACCTATCACCTCAATCTTCAAAACTTGCTTTGCTTAAATATGAATCCTTACCTTGCAAGCATTAGACTGATGTTAATGTGTGTTGTTCTTCTTGTCTAGCATCGCTCGTCTTTCACCTTCGAAGGCCCTGTAGTTTTAGTTGTCCCTGGCATATAGGTAGTTTATGGTAACTAGCATAGTCGTAATTGTGATTTATCGATGTATTTATTTTTAGTCGCAGACGTCAATGATCCTGGCGTACTCTGTGTCAGGGTTTTCTTGGTTAATGTTACTATGTTGGTTGGCACTCTCACAGCTGTTTGATGAGCTTTAATTTGTTCTCTAGAACCCAGTAAAATCTTCTTCTGTTTCTACTTGCAAGTCTTTATATGAAGTAAAATTGCTAGAAAACTTCTGATGCTTCGCATTTACCGAAAAATGACATGCCATTCTATATCATGTTGGTTGCAGAGTGGGATCCTTGGGGTGTTCCCGATGACTATGAATGTGAGGTTATCGAAAACGATGCTCCAGTTCCCAAGCATGTTCCACTGCACCGTCCCGGTCCACTCCCAGAGGAGTTCTACAAGACGCTCGAAGCCCTTTCTAAAAAGGATGAGCCTAAAATCACATCCGGGGAGCCACAGATAAAAGAATAAGCATGCTGAAGTGTTTTGGCTAGAGACACTTAGGTTTTCAAAGTCGAATATTGCATTTTTCTAATCATCCTTTTATTTATGTTTTTCTTTTTCTTTTCAATCTTGTATTGTCCCTGTTCTTTAATGAATCAGATGTTAAACCCTAAAGACAAAAGCTGGAATCATTCAGCTGCTAATAATGTTAATATGATTGGGGTTCCCTCAGCTATTTTTCTCCATCCTAAATAAGTTTATCCTTTTTCATTTATTATACTTTAGCTAGACATTGTTCGATGATTTAAGCACGGCCTCGCTCGATTCTATTTTCTCATAAATTTCATTTGTCTGAGGATTTGATCTTTCCCCTGCAACAAAGAGATTAACTTTGTTCCTAATCTCCACCCAGCTCTGGCTAGAATTCCTCCCTCAATTGTTTTTCTCTCATCACCTTGAGTGTCCTCTCAACTAGGTCACGTCGACCGGAGTCCTCGTACAAGTTTGTAGCAGTATATAGAATGCTCGAACTGATGGGTCAAGTTCAAGACCTCGTTTTGCCATATCTTCAGCTAGAGGTGTATTTTTATGTGCTTTGCAGGCTTGCCGTAATGTCTTGTAGATCAAAGGAAAATCTGCAATCAAAGAGGTCGACGAGATGGTAAGCTCATTCCTCTAAATACTCTCGATGCATCATCGACTTTATCGAAGCATTTGGCATACATGTTGAGAAGAGCATTTCCAGCCGAAACATCATCCTCCAAATCAGCCACTACCACCTTCGAGTGAACCAGGTGCTACGTTTCAAATGAAGAGATCATCATTGTCCAAGAAACAGTATCATGATTTTCCTTATCAACAAACAACTTAGAAGCTTCACCTATTGAATCAATTTTGGGGTAAAAATAATTAAACCACTGACCATAACCAGGCTCTGATCAATCCCTTGCTTTATCGTAGAACCTTGACTGCAAATCCCATCTCAAACTTCAACGCGCTCGCAGCACGCTTGATGCCGTTAACTCATCCGGGCATTCCGTAGATATTAGCATCCCAGTCCAAGAGTCTTTTTCTTTTGCGGCATTTCGTCGAAGAAGCGGCGTGCTTTGTCCACTCCAAAGCATTTAGAATAGAGACACGAGGGTGTTGTTAAATTGCAAGTGGTGTTGAAGACCCAGTTTTATTATAGGATAGTGAATGTATATATACCTTGTTTGAAAGAGGTGGAATTGCAAAATGACTCAAACAAGTGGTGTCGTTACTTCGTTTCTGTTAGTTCGTTAGGTTGGCCTACTTGCAAAGCACAAACATCAGTCGCATGGAAAGTAATTCGTTGCAAAATCGAATTTGCTGCTTGTTCCAGACAGGAACTTTCTTGTTTATGAGACAATAATAGTTTCGATGTTGGTTCCCGGAAGCAACTAGCTTAAGTACTTGTAGTATCTATTTTAAAGACTATCAATAATTTGATAATGATCGTTCGGATATCTTATCATAGCTAGTGTTCGAATCTGATATATATATAAAATAACAATTATCCTTTTAATTATTAAGGTCGTTTTGTCCGTGTAACTCTAAATTAAATATTTAATTACAAAAAAAGTACATACCATATTATAAAGTATTAAAACTGGATACCAAAAATCACACCTTTTCCTTTTATTGCTTAATGAACTTTACCGTGTTTGCAAGTATGGAATATACTCACATTAGTTAGTAGTATTTTTTTTATACATGTTAAGCTTATCCCTGAATAATAAGATAATCGATGTCTGTACGAATCATATTATCTCAATGATTAAAGGAATTATTGTAATTCCTAGAGATCTCATGTTCGAAAATCAAAGACTATAAAATATTTTAGTGTTCGTTTTAATCCATTGAGGACTTAGAATCAAATAGTTATATTTATAGAATATGTGCTCGTTATCAATAGGTTAAAAAATTATAAATATATATAAACGCATCACATTATTTAAAAAACTATTTGATTTAAATAAAAAAAAAACTAAAGTCACGAGGGCAATACTGTCAATTCGTGTAATTCAATTATAATTAGAAATTGGAATAGTCGATTAAAAAAAATAAAAATCGAGCCTTTTAATCTGTTTTTATTGGGTAAATTGTATTCTTCTCCAGTTCTCAGAAAATCAAAATTCACCTCTCGATTGTGTTTGTTCTCCCAAGGAACTTCTAATGGCGTCTGCTCTGGAAACCAAAGCCAAAGAAGCATTCATCGATGATCACTTCGAACTAGCCCTGGATCTGTACTCGCAAGCCATCGAACAAAACCCTAAACAGGCCGAGCTCTACGCCGACCGCGCTCAAGCCAACATCAAACTCAATAATCTACCTGGTATCTACCTTATTTAAAAAAATTGTCTCAATTTATGTGTACTTTTTAAAGATTAGTTGTTAATCTTTTTGTTGCTTTGCAATTTTTTTTATCGTAGAGGCTGTGGCTGATGCAAACAAAGCAATCGAGTTGGACCCTTCCATGTCTAAAGCCTACTTGCGCAAAGCGTTAGTTGATTTTCCCTTGCCTGCTTTTATTCCCCCCATTAATTTCATAATTTTTGCTTGTCCGTTGCATACTTTGGTGCTTTCTGCTGTAGAATCGACTGTTTCCACATCGTTTCTACTGTATAATTACTAAAGGAATTCCTAGAGCTGTTTTCCTGAAGATTATTACAGGAAAAATTTCTAATAATTGATTCTGAGGTAGTGATGCGGAAACCTATAATATGTAGACATATGTATGCAGTAATGCGTGTATGAAGCTTGAGGAGTATCAAACTGCCAAGGCTGCATTGGATGCTGGCGCTGCTTTGGCACCGGTAGACTCGAGATTTCCCAAGTTGATTAAAGAATGTGAAGAGCGCATTGCAGGTATATAGTCATAAAGAACGGCTTTTTAATGCGATGAATTTGTCTAAAAGAATTGCTATATAAGTAAAGACATCCTATTAGTTTACCGATAACATGCATTATCTTACTAATGAGTGTGTATTTGTTTAGAGGAAACTGGTGAACTGCCAATGCAGACATCAGAAAAGGTGACAACAAATGTTGTACCTGTGAAAGAAGTTTCGTCCCACAAGGGTGTGCCTGATCCTGTGACTGTGGCAGCACCAGTCAAACCTTCTTATAGGTTTGTGCCTATGTGCACCTTTTGTAATATCAATGCTATTTACATTGGGTGATTTGCAGTTAATTTTGTCAAAATTATTGTGCAGGCATGAATTTTACCAGAAGCCAGAGGAAGTGGTTGTCACAATTTTTGCTAAGGGAATACCGCGTGAATGTGTTAAAGTTGATTATGGTGAACAAATTGTAAGTTAAAATAATTAACCTGTCTTTGGGTTTGCCTTTCCTGTGCTCAATGAGTAGCATTGAGTATTTATTAGTATATAGGCTAAAGATATGCCATCTTTCTTTGTTGCCATGCAGCTAAGTGTAGCCATTGATGCTCCCGGTAAAGATGCTTATCATTTCCTACCTCGCTTATTTGGAAAGGTATACATGAAATTAATAGATTCTGGCTTGTAAGAGTAAGATTAGCATGGTGCATAAGGTTGGCATGTGTGACAAGCAAGCTGTTTGTTCAGCCTTTTGCTATTGCTAATTTTTCTGTGGCAATTGCCTTTATTTGAACAGATAATACCCGACAGGTGCAGACATGATGTTTTGTCGACTAAAATTGAAATTCGGCTAGCAAAAGCTGAACCAATTCATTGGACATCCCTTGAATATAGCAGGGAAGCTGCTGTTCCCCAAAGGGTTAATGTATCTTCTGGTAAGTCGATCACCCTATTATGTTATCTTTATTAGTAGCAATTAAACTGTGAGTATCCTTTATGGTCTTGTGATCATATCGAATTCTTGTGTTATAGTTACTGCAAATCAGAGACCAGCGTATCCATCCTCCAAACCAAAAAGGGATTGGGATAAAATTGAAGCTCAAGTAAAGAAAGAGGTATATCAAGCATCTTTTTTATCCTTTGTGGAATACAATTACCATTAACACACAACCCTTTGTGGCTGGTTTTCAGGAGAAAGACGAACAGTTGGATGGTGATGCGGCATTGAACAAATTTTTCCGGGACATTTATCAAGATGCAGATGAGGATGCAAGAAGGGCCATGCAGAAATCTTTCGTAAGATATTTTTTACTGAAGGAGTTGGCTATGCATAACGTTAGTCTACAGGATAAAATAATGGTCGGAATACAGGGCTTGAACGATCTGTCTGCTGTGTGCTTTGCAGGTGGAATCAAATGGGACTGTTCTTTCGACAAACTGGAAAGAAGTTGGTGTAAAGAAGGTGGAAGGAAGTCCTCCGGATGGTATGGAGCTAAAGAAGTGGGAGTACTGAGCTCTTTGTTCTCTTAATCAACTGCAGTGTTGTATACATATCTTCAATATTACATTATGTCAAATTATCTATGCTTTGACTGTTTAAACTTGTTCCCAAGTTGAGGTAGATGGATTGTTTTCTTTTTGCTTTAGTACCCTTCGTTTTAAAGGTCTCTTTTGGGGTTTGTGTAATATTTTGGTGAAAACCTTCCGAACTTTCAAGTTATGCAATGAAGATTGTGACTTTTCTCTCTCTATTTCTCTAAGCCTTGTTAACAGGCAGCAGCAGTGATTTTTGACAGTCAAAACAACTAGACCTCTCTCCCTTTTCACATCATCATTGTTGTCGGTGGCAGCACCTGCCATGGACTGGTTGTCGACTGCAGGCTTCCCCCTTCCTTTATCACTTTTCCCTTTCTTCTGGGATGGTAATGAGTTGGATATTTTTATTTTAATCAAAATGAAATATACAACGAAAATCAGAAAAAAGAAAGCAAAATGATTGTTGGAATTTACATGAAATGCTAAAAACTTCTTCCTCGCTCGTCGGTTGAGGCAGATTTGGTGGAACGGTAGTTGATTGATCGACTGTTGGTAGTTACCATCTACTCTTTGGTTGATAGTTTGGTGTGCGATGATGTTTATTTTGCCTTTATTTCTGATTATATATATATAGTTTGCTTGTTCAGTTCCATTCGTCTGTGGGTAATAACAGTATCGACAATGGCGAAGAAGGAAGCCATAGTGCTTTACCCAGCACCTTGGGTTACCCTTCATACTTCTATGGTGGAGTTAGCCAATCTCCTTCTTATCCACCAACCCTCACTTTATATCCACATCCTGGCCATCGCCATTCCTTCCCAACATCTCTTCTCCGCCGCCGTCTGCTCCGCCATCACCTTCCACAACCTTCCCACTGTCGATCTCCGTCCACCAACAACCCACCTAGACACCTTTCACTTCGACTTCATCCGTCTCAACATCCCCAACCTCCGCCGTTTCCTCCTTACCATCTCCGAAAGCTACACACTCAATGTCGTCATCGTCGACTTCTACTGCAGCCGCAGAGCATTCGAAGTCGCCTCAGATCTCGACCTCCCAGCTTACTGTTTCTACACTGGTGCCGCAGGTTCTCTTGCTTCGTTACTGTATCTCCCCACCCTCCACAGCAAATCCACCCAAAGTTTCGAAGATTACCGTGACCTTCTCATTGACATCCCCGGCGTGCCGCCGATTTTATCCTCGGATATGCCATTGCCGGTACTCAAACGCAACGAGATGTATAAAATTTTCTTCTATGTCCACTTGCTTGCCTCACTTAGCTGGGATTATTCTCAACACTTTTGAATACATGGAGCCAAGGGCCATCAAGGCAATTGCTGATGGACTCTGCGTGCCAAATTCCGTGACGCCTCCCCTTTTACTGCTTTGGGCCCTTCATAGCTAACGCAGCTGCTGGCGGTGTCGATGGTGTCCCTGATTGCTTAAAATGGTTAGACTCGCAGCCTAGTAAAAGTGTAGCGTTTCTTTGTTTTGGTAGCGCTGGATTTTTTTCGATGCAACAATTAATGGAAATAGCTGTTGAATTAGAGAGAAGTGGGCATAGATTCTTGTGGGTGGTCAGGAATCCTCCATTAGAGAACCAAAACTTAGGCATTGACGGAGAAGTCGACCCAGACCCGATATCATATCGTTGCTTCCTCTAGGGTTCTTGGATAGGACCAAAGACGGGATACTTACTGAAATCATGGGCCCCTCAGGCAGCCGTGTTGAGTCACGACTCTATTGGTGGGTTTGTAACTCACTGCGGCTGGAATTTGGTTCTGGAGTCGGTGTGTGCCAGGGTTCCGATGCTGGCGTGGCCACTTTATGCGGAGCAAAGGTACAATAGGGTGTTGATGGTGGAAGAAATGAAGATTGCTTTGCCGATGGAGTTGGAAACTGGGTTGGTGTATTCGACTGAGGTGGAGAACGAGTCAAGGAATGGTTCAGCCAGGGTGGCGGTGAGCGAGGAAGGTTCCTCTTAGATTACGTTGACCCAGCTTTTCGAGTCATTGAAGAAGAAACGAAGGCATGACAAATAAAGTACATGGATGAATGGCTACATTACAAATTAACTGTAATGGTTCAGTTCATCTCTGCAGATCGCATCCAGCCGTTCAACTTCCTCCGTTTCCCGAAGACATCAAATACACCTTACCTTCCATCTTCGACCAAGTCGTAAATGCCAAAAACTCGGACCTGATACCGCTTCCGAGATTTGTATCATTTCTTACGTTGAGTTCAAGTTCAGTACTGCATTTATCTTTCTTATACTTAATCCCGACTCTTGCCATTGTCTAAAGCCAATCCAACTTGTTTGCCCCTGTATAGGCGAAACGAACACTGATGTTTGTATGTCCATATCTGAAGTAGCCAAAATTCGGGTTCTCGACGGTCATTTGAGCAACAGGTCTCATGTTGAACAAAGGGTTCAGGGAGAACTATAGTCGACTCAAGACCATAACCGAGCTCATTCGAAACTTTGGATGTTTGGTGGTGAATACCAGTACTGAAAAAACTATAATCAGATAATCAGTACAATAATGACCATAGGAGCAGCAAGTACAGCCAGATTCTTTCCATTGAGCTCGAATGATCATTTCAAGGTCAAATCTTCCTGTTCTTGAGGTTGCTTCAGAGATCTGATGACTGTCTGGATGTTCCAGATGAATTATTATCGGTTTACGTGTTAACGGCCATGCATACAAACAACCCAAAGTTCGTGTTTGATCGGGATCATTCGTCAATGGGGCCATTAACGTTGGGGCCGAAGCTCCCCTTTGTTCCACCTGCAAATGAACACATGTTTCATGTAACGTTTGCATACAGGGACACACCGATTGGGGAGGTCACGATAAAGAAAGGTCGATCTAGGATTGGATCGACCAGGATAATTGACTTTGTTGTTGAGTTAAGGTCGAGCAGTAATGAATTTGATTTAGTGGAGTTGATGTTGTCCAATTATGTGTTTGAATATATTTTCTTTGCTTAAATTGATATATACATTTAATTTTTTTGGTCCAAATGAGTACTTGAGATAAAATTACTTATTTGGATCGTTCTGAATCATGAAGGTAAATTTACATACTAGGGGACCTATAAGAATAGGCTAACGCTGCGTTCCAGCGGCAATGGTGAAGATGTGAGCTTCAGAAATGCAGATACCTACGGCTTCCAGTGGAGGGGAGTCATAGATAACTACGTTGAAGTGATCAGCAGGAGAAGGGGAAGGGGAAAGGGCAGGTCATGGGGATAAAATATTATTTTTTAAAAAATATTTTTTAAGTTTTTTTAAATTAAATATTTTTAAAAAATATAAATGTGACATGTGTCGTTGAAATTTAACATCCGTTATCCAATGTCTATCTCTCTTTATTAAATTAATGTGATTACAAAATAGTTTGCGTTCTAAATACTTTTAACTATTTGACAATGAACGCTCAATCACTCTGTTACTACCGTTGGTACTCGAACTCATAACCTCTAAAAATAACAACGTATCTCTAGCGTCTCTCTCTGTTCTATCAATAGTCTTATTTAATACATAATTTGTAAGTATCATTAAACGTTTAGTAGATTATATTAGAAGTTATCTATTTGAATGATATTTATTCTATTAAAAATAAAATTTAGGATTGAAAATAATAACAGATTAGATTATAGAATCTAATCTTTAAATGGAACGTGTATCAAATTGTTTATCTTTTTGTAAAAAAATGATAGATTCATTTACACAATGCAATATAGGAATAAAGACAAACAAATTGTGGGAAACAGTTGTCCGATGGTATAAGATCAGATGAGGCACCACCATGACTATAAACTACACATTTAATTTATAAATTATCAATTTTAATTCGATTTAATAACTAAATTTAAAAAAAAAAATCAAAATCATACCTCAAACGCTTAATCCGTTGAATTAAGATTTTGATAAATTCAAAACAAAGAGAATGTGTAAGAAACCCTAGATGACTCTCCCACCCGACCCCCTGATATTCAACAACTTCCAAAGAGGCAGGGCTGGCGTGATAGAGATCCGCCGGACGGCCCATCACCTCCCTCTTTCGGCCTTCGCTCTGACATGGACGTCCACAATTCCCAAGCTTCGCAGACTCCTGCATCTTATCGTGATATGGTAATCGGCGCAAACGTCGATGTGCCTCCTGAAGACCTTATTTCCCTTGATGATGATGATGATATTGAATTGCTGGAAACTGATGTTGAAGTTGGCGAATCCGATGGCATCCAAATTATCAACTTTTCAGATCGAGTCTATAATCTCGCTCTCAAAAGTTTGGAACTCACGCGGGTGGTTAAAATCCTTTGCCGTCTAATCGGATATACCTTCTCCACAATCGGATCCTTTCGCTTTGGAAGTCTTCCCACACCGTCAAATTGATCTATATAGAAAATGATTAAAATTGATAATTCAAGTACTAAACATGCAATTTACCCATTTTTTTAATACTCCATGTTGTTGGTCTCGTTACTGTATGGAACAGAAGCTGATACTATTACAACCAAAAATAATAATAGCATCATAAAAATTAAGGATCAAATTGCAGATGATTAAAATTGAAGGATTAAATCTTTAATCTCAAGACAATAGAGTGACTAAAAACATTATCACTTCTTTGATGTGAAAGAAATCTCACCTTCTCAAACCAAACATTATATATGCTTCCAACTGCAGAAATCAGACCAAACACAGTCTCCCGACAAGAAGAAGAACAAAAAGAATCCAAAATAAAGAGAGAAGTTCCAATTTCTTCATAATGACAAAAACTTTACACGCGAGAAACCTAATTCAACCACCACTGCTCATGATGGCTAACAATCAAAAAACAACAGCACCCTTTGTTTTTTTCTTGTTTCCATTTTGAATTTTTACATCATGATAATAAAAATCGTTCCTTTTCTTTCAGGTGCTGAGTACATTTCCTTCATCGCTGGATGTTCTTGCACAATTGCTTGCAACTCCTGAAAACAGAGAAGAATCTGGGGGCAAATAGAGAAAAAAAGATTAATCAGCGATTAAGAAGATTGTTTTTCTCAATGTATATGTATACCTGTTGAAGATGCATTGCTTAGTTTATCTTGTGAAGAAGGATCACTTGGGCATCTCGACAACCAAGAAGATTCTGCCGACAATACCAACCCAGAAAAAGAAAACAATCTGAGAATCGGATTTTAAATTAAACCCAAAGCTTTAAATTTTGCTATAAGATTATTACCTCTTGATGAATTGAAAGATCTCTTGCAATGCAAAATGGCGCTTTGGATACCATCGTGTTGTAGCAGCAATGAATCATCTCTCCGGTTAATTGGCGACGCCGCAGCTGACGACGATTTGCTCTTTTCCAGATGTTTGTAAGTCCCTCTGGTATTCCCCTGCTTCTCCTTCGTGGAATACGCCGTCGCAGGAGAAAACAATGGTGAGTCACCAGAGATTCCCACCTTTTCTCTTTGACTATTCTTTATGCTGATTCTTGTGGACAATGGCTTGATTACGTTCAAGCATTTGTGCACCAGATCTTTGGATGATCTCTTCGAGGAATCATCGGTTTTGCCATTAGTTTTCCGCGAGCTGTTTTCTCTGGTGAAATGCTTCTCGTGCTTCGTGGCCTCTGGTTTCGGTTTCTTGGGAGTAAATACTCGAAATTTAACCCCATGCAAAGGGAACTGCAAGTCGATGAAACCGTCATCTCCTTCATCAAACTCATGATCGGAAACCTCGGTGGTGGTGGTGGTGGTGGTGGTGGCGCCGCCGTTTCCATTACAAGGATGGGTTTGGTTCACTCTGTGAACACCATAACCATTTTTCCAAAACCTCAGAAAATTCAGAGCTTCCATGGATAAGAAACAAAAGGAGAATGAATCCAAAAGGGAAAAGCAGAGTGATTTTTAGGGTTTCCACTTCGGTGGTGGGGATTTTAGCTATTTAAAAAGCTCAAAAAAGGGGCTCTCTGCACTTCCTTTGATGACAGGGAATTGAAAATGGTGTTTCAGGGGAGTGAGGTAAGCTTTTGATATTCACTTTTACAAAGAGATTCGGAAGAGAGAGAGAGAGAGAGAGAGAGAGAGAGAAATATAATAACATATATTTTTCCTGTCAATTTATCCAAGTTAACTATGTAGAAGATAATTTATTTTTGTGTTTTACCTATTTTAAATAATTAATTTTTAAAAAAATAAGATACGACAAATTTTGGTTTTATTTAATTAATATATTTTCACCTTTAAGTTAATTATCTTTAATCAGAGTTAAATATTTTTTATATAATTATATATTTAGTTATTGTTACTTACATAATTTTTAAATTTAATCATACTTTTAATAAATTAAAATAAATTTAATCCTTAATTAAACGATACCACATGTCATGCCAGTAAGCTTGTTCAAAAATACTCAACCCGAATGAGCTAACTCATCAACCCGTTGATCCAATTAAAAAATATTGTTTATTTATAATAAAATATCTAATTTTTCGGGTCGGGTACTCTACCGAGTTTCTGGGTCGAGCATAGGTCACAAAATATTGGTTAAAAAGGTACCCGATTTATTATATACTTTTTATTTTTCATTTTATTTTATATTAAATTTTTATTCATACTCCTCACATTATTTCACTCTAACATTCTAAAATCCTAATTTTTTAAATTTTGACACCATAACGTTAAATTCTTAATTTCATAAATTAGTTCACATTAACATTCAAAATTATTTTTAAAATATTCATTTTAACTTCAAAATATTTGAAATTTAATTATATTTCTTTCTTTTAAATTTTAATAAATTTTATTTCAATTATGAAATTTAAATTTTTAAACTTTATATGTGGATTATATATATTATATACTTTTAAATTTTAAATTTTAGAATCTTTTATAATTTTTTTTAAATATAATATAATTTAAAGGAAAAATAAAAAAATTATGAACCGAGTATCCGTCCGAATTATATATAATATAATTTATATATATTAAATGAAAATATTTTTATATCAACTTTTTAAATATATTTTATTATTAACTTAATTTAAAAACATTTTATTTTTATTTTCATTTTAAAATGTATAATTTATTAAAAGTATTACTAAATTAAAAAATATATAAATAATGGTGATCAAATGTGTGAATATATCAAAATATTTAACTGATGTCAACGGCAGTTAGCTCGGGGTGACCATATCTTAATTAAATAAAAATAAAATTGAGCATATTTTTTTAAATTAATGTCCAAAAATAGACAAAACACAAATATAAGTTACCATTCCTATAGTTAACCCATTTATTAACTTTTATTAGATATAATAAAAGGTTTAGGGTAAATAACTTGTTTAATATCTGAATTATCAAATTTGATTTGTTTTTAATATCTAAACTTTTAGTTTTTTTAAATCATATATAAAATTTAGTTTTTTTATTTCATTTTAGTACATCTTTCAAAATTTAACTTTAAATTTTGAAAAAAAAAATGAAAGTTTAGGAATTAGAATGAACCAAAATAGATAGTTTAGATACTAAACGTGTGAAGTTTTTAACCGGGTACTAAAATGAAACAAAAACTAAACGTTAGGTATGATTTTAAAAAAAAAATTAAGTACTAAAACATATCAAAATTGATAGTTTAGATACTAAATAGGTAGTTTGTTCAAAAGCAAATTATACAAGTGATTTTCTTAAATTAATTTATTATATTAATAATATCATAAAGTAAAATTTTAATATTGATTAAAGTATAAATAAATTATATGAATAGTCCCTTTTGTTTAGGGTCTGTTTGACTTTGATCACCAATTTTAAAATTAAGGGTAAATGATCTCTAACATTATCGGTTCGTGTAGTTTAAGTCCCTCCTCCGTCAACCCTTAACGAATATGTGACATAGCTGAAGGATTGAATTGAACATGATTTAACGGCTGAGGGGCTAAAATCGAATAGATCGATAACGTTAGAAACTAAAATTAAATGAATCGATAACATTAGGGATCATGTACCTTTAATTTTTAAATTGATTAGCAAAGTCAGTCATACTGAAAATAAAGAGGACTATTCGCATAATTTACCCTTAGAGGATTTTGGGTAAACTACAGTATTAGTTATTTTCATTTTGAGTTTATCTTACTCTAGTCAATAATTTTGAAGAAAATATTTTTTTATCACTTTTATATTTGATAAAGTCCAATAGTCATCATCGACTATCATTAACGATGACTATTCGATCTCAAAATTTATAGGTCATTCCTTTTTTTTAATCTCATAAATGTGAATATGATATTCTTTTCGATAAAAAATATTTTGATATTCTCAAACCCAACATAAATCCTCCAAGTTTCTTTAAAAATGAATTATATATTAATTTTATCGTTATATTACTTTAAAAGCAAAGAGGAAAAAAATTTATACATTATATTATAAATATAATATTTATTATAAAGATAATTTTATCTAATTTTAAATATGTGAGGGGCATAAGAAGTTATTTTACTATTTTAATTGCAAAATTTGTATAGAATGATTATAGTTTGCGTGAGAAACTAACAGGTAGAGCGCGTGGAGGAGCATGTTGTTGCGAGAGAGTGACGAAAGACAATCTTCTGCAAATGATGCAAATTACTCAGCAAAACGATCTTAGTTATAAGGTTAAAAGTAGTTAAGATCGAGAAATTTGAGTTTGTAAATTGTTTGAGTTTTATTATAATTATTTTTAATAGGTAATTTATAAATTTTTATGTAAATTTAAATTAAGTCTTAGGTATACTTTGATTCTGGATTGGAGTAGTTACACTTGACCTAAACTTTTTATTAGCAAAAAGAAAAATCTTAGTTATAATATATTTTCAAATGAATTAAGAATAAATTACGTATTTAATATTTAAAAATTATTGAATTTGATCTATTTTATTATTTAAATTTTTTATTTTTTAAAAAATATATTTAAAATATAATTTTTATTTTATTTTAATAACTCATTGTTAAAACTTTAATTTTTATTTTAATTTATTATTTTTATTTATATTTTAACGTTAAATTTTAAAAAATTTAAAAATTTAGGTAATAAAATATAGCAAACTTGATAATTTATATTAATAATTTTAAAAATTTAATGATTAAATATATAGATGTGATGATACCAAAAATAATAAAGTAGAGAAAAGAAGTTAAGTGATGGTTATCAATAGATGTAGTCAGACGGGTCTTTCTGAGCCGGAAATAGGGTGGGCTACATTACACGATTTGACTTGGATTTGGATTTCGCATCATACCCCGAATCTAAATTCCTTCGTCACTCGTCAGGATGATTATTCATGCATTGATATTATAAATGGTAAACTACACGTTTAGCGCCCTAATTATCACTTTTATTTTATTTTAATCATTTAACTATTTTTTAAATCATACGATACGTTTACTTTTGTTTAATTTTAATAATTCATCGTTAAAAAATTAACAGAATTACTGACATTAAATTTTTATATTTTTCTCAATGATGATGTGACATTATCTTATGTTTAATTTCTTAAAGACGGGTGAGTAAAAATGAAACTAAAACTAAACGCTAAATATAATTTTTAAAAAAAATAATTGAGTGATTAAAACAAAACAAAAAATAATAGTTAAATAATTAAATTTGTAATTTATCCTATTATAAAATGTATTAAATATTTATTCATATTACAATATATAAATAAGTCCCCTTATAAAATATGGGATGATATTTTAAATTAGTATTAGCTCAAAAATTACAAGAGATAATGGATAAGATAATCAAATTGTAAAGGATGCTTTTAATGCTTTTAATACTTTTAATATTTTTTTATCAAAATGATATTTAATACTAATATTATTGAGAAAATAATATCAATTTAATAAAAGAATATTTATGTGGAAATATATTTTAAAACGTGCGTTTTGAGGTAATTTTACCCAAAAATCAAACTAACAATTAAATATTATCTGTCAGGCATTTTTTCTCCAAATATTATTGATCTAGTATTTTTTTTGACAAAGCGTGGACCATACGGCACGTCTTTTCAGGGTTTTGTTTAAACTGAAGTCACGGTGAAAAAACACGAATCATAATGTGCATCTTCGTGTGGTTTTATCCGAGCTAGCGTCACAATAGTAAAAAACATATCATGAAGCACGTCTTTACTAAGAATCAAACATGTGGCGGAAGGCGTAAATCATAATCCGCGCATTGAATTTAAATCTCAACCGCCCCACCTTAAATACCTCCCAACCCCCGCCCACATATCTTATAAATAACTCATTATCCAACACTAATACCACACAAGCACTCTATTTTTTTCCTTTTATATATCAGTTTATTAAGTTTTAAGTAAGAATAATTATCATTTTTAGAAACTAAATTTTTATTATATTATAAGTATTTAATAGTTTATTATTTTATTATACTATTTTTTTATTATTTTTTATAGTTATAAAATGAGGGTAGATTGTTGTATTTAGATGAGAATCATATGTAGAGTTATTTTATCGATACTTTAATAATTTTAAATTATGTTATTTTATTTATTGTGAATATTTTATTCATATATTTTTTAGTATTAGTTTATATTTTAATTTGTATATTATTTATTTAATTAGGTGAATGATGTATATTAGATCCATTTATTCGTAACGCTAAATTAAAGATACCGAGTCATGTATGACCGTATTTAGATGGGGCTGGATTCGATTACATAGCGAAACATGAAGGGCATTGTAACCTTAAATCCAACTTTATTTATGCACTGATTGAGAGGTGGAGACAAAAAACACACATATTCCATCTTTCGAGTGGAGAGTGCGTTATTACGCGGGAGGATGTTTCCTTGCATTTGGGGCTTCCGGTAGATGAGGATGTTATTTTTGGTGTATCAGATGGTGATTGGCATTCCTTGTGTGAGGAGTATCTTGAATGTATCCTGCTTAATTTCAACGGGTGGTCGAATACCGTTATCATGGTTGGTTAGAAATTTTCGACGGTTGAGCGACGATTGTTTCGAGGAACAGACTCAAATATTTGTCTCGACTTGCATATTGCA